CCCTACCAGGCCTCCTACACCCTCCTCACCACCGATTTGGATCACTTGTTGTTCCCTTTTCCCTGGGTTTGTTAACACTATTTCCTTTCCCCCCCACCTCGCCCTCTCCCATGGCCCCCCGGAACTGTCGGTCCCATTGTTTTCTCCTCCAGATTGTTCATCCAGCTTATCCTTTTTAGATAGCCCTGTGGAATAATAACATGCACAAAAACAGGACAGAGCAAAACCAAGCAACAAAAGAAAACAAAACAACAACAAAAAGCCAATGTCAAAACACAACAAAACAACAACCAATAAAGAAAAGTTTGTAGTTAGTTCAAGGCCTGCTTTTTGGCCTTAGGAGTGTTTTCTGGTCCAGTCTGATGGGGTGCCAAGCCTTGACCTCAAAGTCTATTTTTGGTATTCCCTGGGGACTTAGTTGCTCTGTTCCCCTTGCTGTTCTGTTGCATGTCCTTAGTGTTTTGCCTCTGTGTGGTGGGATCAGATCGGGCGCAATTCCCACACTGTGTCTCCAGTGTTGTCCCCTGTATAGCTATGGGTCAGTGAGGGATTTCGTGTCTCATAGTGGGGCCAGCCATATGGTCTTCTCTGTGGATTGGTTGCTCTAAGCAAGAATACCTCGTCAAAGCTTGGTAGGCCAAAGAGCTCCTTTCTCGCAGGTGTTCTCAATGGAATACACCATTTGATTTCTTGACCACTATTCCATGGGTACTGATTGTGGATCTAAATAAAATTAAATCCTTGACAACTTCAATCTTTTATCTCTTCACCATGGTATTGGTTATTGGTCCAATTGTGGAGAATTTTATTTTGCCATTGTTGTTTTCAATGGAGAATATTCCATACTGAAACCTCTAGTCTTCAAGTTTCATCAGCAAGTACTTCAAGTCATTCATTTTCAGTAAGCAAGGTTGTGTCATCTACATATTACAGGTTGCTCATGAGTCTTCCTCTAAGCCTGATGCTGTGACGTCCCTCATAGAGTCCAACTTTTGGGGTTATTTGCCCAACATACACATTGAAGAAAGTGTTCAGGAGCAAGGATGTTACTTTGAGGACTGAGGTGCCCCTGGCCCAAACCGTGGTCTTATCACTTGCTTCAATGCCTGGGAAAGTTAGACGTCAATAAGGAAGACTGAAGAAAAACTGATGCATATGACCTATGGTGTTGGTCAAGAGTACTGACAGTATGATGGATGCCAAAAGAACAAACATCTGTCATGGAACAAAAGAAATGGCAAGTCTTCTTCTCATGCTCTATGGACACGTTATCAGGAGTGGCTAATCCCTGGAAAAAGACATCATGATAGGCAAAGTAGAGGGACAGAACAAAAGAGGAAGGCCCATGGCAAAGGGGATTGGACCCAGTGGCTACAACAAGGGACTCAAAGATAAGAACCCGTTGTGAGGGCACATGGGATGCGGCAGTGTTCTGTCCTGTTGTATGCAGGGTTGCTATGATTTCAGAACCAACTGGGAGGCACTTAATCACCACCACAACAAAGGTATTTTGTGCTCTAAAATAGGGCATTTTTAGAAGTACTTACATCCTTCATCTAAACATTTAAATAATGTAGTTTTATTTTGATATGCTGTTTTAGATCAGAGGCTACAAAAAGAGTAAAGAAACCCTTAGAGGATTTTGGAATTCAATAGATGAATTATACATAATCTAAATTCTTAGTTTTACTATTCATGAGAAAACAGTATTCCTTAAATGCTAAGTCTCCAGAATCAAATATTGACCTATTCTTATGCTCTCCTTCTTCCAGGCATGTTTTATTTCCAGAAAACATTTGTTGGAGTCTTTTGAAAAATGCTGTCCTCTCATAGAATATAAAATGTGGCTGAAAATTGGACTCTCTATTTCTGCGAAAAAACTCAGGGAAAACTTATCTTATGAGGTAAGAACTGGTATGTGATCTCACCTTCTCTCCGAATGGAATTGCATCAAAATATTGTTTGAAATTAATTTTATGGATTAATTTATATTAAACTTGACAAACGAATAATAGACTAACTTCATGTTTCTCGTGTAGGATTGGAACTACAAAATGCAATTGCAACTCTGCAACACTTATGTTAAAGATATACCAATGAATACCAAAACTGATATTTATGGTGAAACCGTAATCTACGTCATCCTCATCAATGGAGTTGTAGAAGATTGTCAGTTACGGAAAATTTATAAGGCACCTTCTTTAATTCCTCTTACATGCCATCAGGTACACAAAAGGGTGTCTTCGGGTCAATGTTGCACACACACAAGCAAGTATGAACATTTAAAACAGTATCATGCTAATTGTGGATTTCCACTCATACCCTTCCCTTTTCTCCCCTGCTCCGCACTCCATAATGCACCCATAGACATACCGTGAGCTCATTGATTACTCTGGCACTAAGTAGCCAAGCACTAAGCAATAGCTACTTAAGGCCAACAAGCAAATCAAGCTGGACAATTCGGTGCAGCCTTACACAAGTGAAGAGAGCTTATTAAGTCCATTCACACATCACAAAGGACCAAGTTTCCCTGGACTGCCTCAATACTACTATAAAAATATTAACGTTTACTCTTATTTTACTAAGGAAACCTGTGGGTTAGATGTTGGACTGCTAACCTCCAGGTCATTGGTTCAAATACTCCATCTGCTCTGCAGGAGAAAGATGAGGCTCTCTGCTCCTGTTAGCATTTACAGTCTCAGGAATCCTAACTAGTTGTGTTCCGTTGTGTAGGGTCGCTGTTCATCAGAATTGACTTGATGGCACTAGGCACTCTTCAAATACTATTTCTAGACCATGTAATAGATATATAATAAGATACTGTAGTGTTTAACTTAACTGAATGCCAGTATACATTCCCCAGCTGCTTCAAAGATAGATGTAAACGTGTAGGGCATCTCATATTTAAGCTGTTACTTGAAATCCCATACCAAGCAAAAGAAGAACCTGAGCCACGTGGAGAAGAAAAGAAGAATGTGTGACTGGTGTGTAAGAGAGACTTACAGTCAATAAACTTACTGATAATTTGGAAGCAGTTAACTTATGGCAAAAACAACACTAGCTTGCTGAAGCAATACCCCAAATAAAGAAGAAAACTGACACCTGCAACCTGCCCTCATGAGAGCTCATACCTGATTGTAAACAAACAAATACATAAATACCTTGATAAAATAGTTAGAGCTATGATTGATGTGCTTTCACAGTATATTTCAGACATAAGGAAAAAAGTGAGGTGGGTATGGGAAGGCTCTTGAGAGAGACAAAGTTACAACAATATTTCCTATGTGGGAAACACCATGGACAATTGAAAGCTCTGGGAAAGGAAGTAAAACGCTGTTTCAAACAATGGTGTCCCCCGCCTGCCTCTGTTAATTGAATGCATAATAAGAGAGCTTTGGTTTGGATGCCTACTGGGGATGTTTACAGCCAAGAGATGCTTGCAATCCCCCCAATTCTCTCCACTCTCCGAAGCACAAAGCCCTCATATCTGTGGCTCTGGGCACCAAGGTGCTTCAGTGTATATTAAAAACAACTACATTTACCAGAGGCACAGTGGTTAAGGGTTCAGCTGCTCAACCACCAGCCCCTCCGCAGGGAAAAAAAAATGTGACAGTCAACAGCCATGAAAATTACAGTCTTAGAAACCTTGGGGGACAGATCAAGTATGTCCTAAAGGGTCACTATTAGTCTGAGGTGACGGACAGTAGTGACTTTAGTGGGTTATTTTATTGATTGGTGGATTCAGCTATGTACAGTAACACTTTGGACAGTTTTTAAAAGACCATGGAAAATCAGCATATGATTATTTTTTCTCATTTGGAAAAGAAAGGAGTAAAATATTCTGAAATTAAAGTAAATATGTGGAATGTTGACTTTTACAAAACCAGCCTATCTAGGAATTGTAAGTTAATTACCTAAGTGATATATTCATATTTTTTAATTTCTCTCAAATATTTGGACAGTTACTGACATGGTAATTTATGAGAAAAATATTTCATCACTCATTTTCTCAAAAATAAATGTGTATTCTATCAATTTTCAGATACAAGGCACTGAAAGATTTACAAAGATAATGATTCTTCAAACCTCATTTGATAAGAAAAAATCCAGAGGGAGTAGTGGGAGTGCTGTGCCTATATGTCAACATTATCTTGAAAAGGAATAATTAGGTGAGTCAAAGTTCTCTGAATAATTCTGAAATTTTCATTTCCCATTAAAAAACAAACAAACCATGTACTGAGAAACCTTTTCAACTGCCATATTAGATATCCAACACATGAATTCAGACTGAGAATAGCCAGATTTTATTTATAAACTACTCTATATTTCATCTAAAAAAGATGATGTGTAAGTGTCAAAAATATTTTCAAAAATTAAGAAGTGAGTTAGTAGAGTTCATCTTGGGGCTCCCCCCAAGATGAAATATTTCATTTAGCAGCAATGTTAAACATCGTGAGGTATTAACTGAGCAATAATAATAGTAATAATAAACCCCACAAATGTGTAAGTCATTGGAGCGACATGGACTACCCAACTCTGTTCTTCATAAGAATTTCAGTCAATAAGATTCCAATTATACTTTCCTTTCGGTGCTGCGGGGCAGCCAAGCGTAGGGTCAGTCTTCAGAAGAGGCTCGCCTCCAGCGTCCTCCATGATGGCGAGAAGAAAGTCTGGGGGGACCCCAGCCAGCGAGGCCAATGAAATGGCCAATGCCAACTCCCATCCACGCATCCGGAAACTGATCAAAGAAGGCCTTATCCTCCGCAAGCCTGTGACCGTCCATTCTCGGGCCCGGTGCCGTGCCGCAAAAACACAGAGCCCGCCGGAAGGGCAGGCATACGGGCACAGGTAAGCGAAAGGGTATTACTACTGCCAATGCTCACATGCCCGAGAAGGTCAAGTGGAAAAGGAGGATGAGGATTCTGCGCCAGCTGCTCAGCAGATACCGGGAGTCAAAGAAGACTGGCCGCCCCAGGTATCAGTTTGTCCCTGAAGGTGAAGGGGGACGTGTTTAAGAGCCTGCGGATTCTCATGGAGCATCCACAAGCTGAAGGCAGACAAGGCTCACAAGAAGCTCCTGGCTGACCAGGTGAGGGCCGCAGGTCTAAGACCAAGGAAGCTCGCAAGCGCCGTGAGGAGCAACTCCAGGCCAAGAAAGAAGAGATCATCAAGACGCTGTCCAAGGAGGAAGAGACCAGGAAATAAACTGCCCCTCTCTTCTCTGTACATAGTGGCCTTGGCAGTTCTATTGATCAGTCACTCAATAAAAGCAAGCCTTGTTGGCCTGCCCCTGAAAAAAAAAATTCAAATTATAGTTATTTAATAACCTACCGCTGTTAGGTCAGGTTGTCTAGAGAAACAAAATCAAAGACACTCACCTATTTTTAAGAGAGAGAGAGATCAGTAATTTTATATCATGACAGCATCCCATCCCAATCCAACTCAAGTCTATGGGTCCAGTGCTAGCCAGACTCATCTTAAGACTCAAGTAACTGCAGGCCAATGGCAAAGAAAGGTGAAGGGAAATCAGACAGATCGCCAGCCTGCAGTGCAGGGATGTGGCTCCAAGGTCATGGCAGCGTGGCAGGCCACTCTTGGTTCCCAAGGTAGAAGGTACACCCGGGCCATCCCTGGAAGCAGACACAGCATCCAAGAACGGAGCACGGTGAAGGGAAAAGAGATAGACTGTTCACTGTTTTTCTTATATACAGGCCACACCCCCCAAGGGGGTATCTCTTAACTATCACCTGATTGATTAAGTAGGACTCCGGCCTTACCTCCACTCAGGTGCCATCAGCTGACATAAAATCTAACTATGACACTACCATTAAGTCACTGACGAAAATTTAGAAAATATCTGATTTAATAGATGAAATAATAATACATTTCACAAAAGGAAAAACAATGTTGTAAATTTAGATGTGTAGATTTTCTTTTCCAATTCTGACTTTCAACAAAACTATTATTGAATGATAGATAAGCAAAGGCAAGCAAGCCTGGTCTCTATTATGATTTTTTAAAATCATTTAATTGGGGGCTCATACAGCTCTTATCACAATACATACATATATTGTGTTGAGCACATTACAATTTTGATTTTTGTTCCACATTTTTCTCTCCTTTCTCAAACAGTTGGTAGCAGTAATCAGTACTAGATCTCTTCTGATTTTGTACACTAACGTATATGATCTATTTATAAACTCAGTATTAATCTCCTGTATTTATATTTGTCATCTTGTCTAGTTTTTTCTACATTGTAATTTATTTCTTCAGTTTGTTCTTATAGTATGTTCCTGAATTCTTCTACAGCTGTGCGTCTTTTTGGTGTTTTGGTTTTTTCCGATTTGTCTGTAGCTCTCTTGAGTGTTCTCTTCCAAGGCTCCATTCTTTTGAATCCCTCCTCAGGTAGTCCCAACGACCATTCTTCCGCTGAAAGGCCTTTAGTTCTGCATGCTGGTCACTTGTTTGAGACACCTGGGTTTGGTTCTTCATGTGAACCAGAATTGTCTATAGATTCCGAGGCATTGCAATGCATGATCAAACGGTACAGGAGACGTGGGTGATCTTGCTCCAGGAGACGTAACTGCTGAGTACCCTGCTCGGTGGCCTGCAGGTGTCCTTACTGGACTTCAGATCCCAGCTGAGTCAGACAAGAAAAGCAGAACAATAAGGGGGAATGAGAGAAAAGACAAAAACAAACAACTGTGAAAAAAAATGAAGCAAGTGAAAGCCAGCAAACAAAAGTATCTAATAAGTGAAAACAAGAACAAAGCAATCTAATAAGTAAAAGGAAAAGAATTTAAAACAAAGATAGAGGGGGCGAGGAAAAAATGTAACAAGCAAAACTAGATGGTGGGGCTGGAAAAGCAAAATATAAAGGAAAAAAATAAAAGGAAAAGAAAGAAGAGAAAGGGAACGATACGCATAAAGAAAGAGTAAAAACAAGGGAAGGAAAGGGGGGGAAAAGGAAAGAGGACTGGGGCAAGACCCCTGGAGGAGAGAAGAGTTGGGCTGGGTTGGCACCAGCCAAGGAGCTCCCATGGTGGAGGAGAGGAGTGAAGGAGTAGAGTCCATCTTAGTGAGACTAGTGAGACTTACGCTAGAGAAGATTGTCACATTGTGTATTCTTCTTCTCAGTCAGTTGCCTTCCTATTACTTGCAGACCCTTTCCCTACTACCACCCAAGGAATCTGGCTCTACCTCTGCATGATCAAAGGCCTCTCAAGAACCTGTCATTGCTTCATTAAAAAGGCCCTTATACACCTGGACATGGGGTTGCCGGGAGGAGAAGAGCCAGTCAGGGTGCAGTGTAGCAACAATGAAACATACAACTTCCCCCTAGTTCCTAAGTGTTTCTTACCCAGCCCACCCCATACCACTATCATGATCCCAAATCTACCTTACAAATCTGGCTAGACCAGAGGATGTACACTGGTACAGATAGGAACTGGAAACACAGGGATCCAGGACGGATGATCCCTTTGAGGACCAGTGGTGTGAGTGGTGATACCGGGAGGGTGGAAGGAGGAGGGTGGGGTGGAAAAGGGGAACTGATTACAAAGATCTACATATAACCTCCTCCCTGGGGGACAGACAACAGAAAAATGGGTGAAGGGAGACATCGGACTGTGTAAGATATGATAAAATAATAATTTATAAATTATCAAGGGTTCATGAGGGAGAGGGAAGCGGGCAGGGAGGGGGGGAAATGAGAAGCTGATGCCAAAGCCTTAAGTGGAGAGCAAATGTTTTGAGAACGATGAGGGCAAAGAATGTACAAATGTGCTTTACAGAACTGATGTATGTATGGATTGCGATAAGAGTTGTATGAGCCCCCAATAAAATGATTTTTTTTTTATCACAAGTTGAAGATGATCCTGAGCAGGAAAATCTGATTCGGAGGAGAAAACCGTGCAGAAAGCTCATGCCTTCTATCCTGTTATAAATTCACAAAGGAGGTCCACAGAAAGGAATGAAGATGTTAACCTGTGAAGTCACAGTCATAGCACAGGCGTAGTAGATAATCAGCACTTTAACAAACATGTTGAATAAATAAAAGAATCTGCTAGTAAAATTACAATTTAAAAAAAGAAAGCTCTTATAAAATGTATTGTTCCTCAGGATGGGAAATCCTCTCACTGGGAAATACCAATTCTCATCCCCTGCTCTGCATACTGTAGTCTTTACCACCCTGCTGATCCTTATTAACAAACTCAGAATGTGATTCCTGTCTCTCATCTCAATTTCTAGGTTAAAGAACATACAAACATTGTTTTTTGGATGTCTAGAATAAACCTAAGTGAAAATCTGGTAAGCTGCCTCAGTTTCCTCATTGTGACCAGGTGCAATGTTGGAAGACAAGAAGTCAGCCATTTTGGCTGTTGGCTGTTCAAATGTGTTGCCTCTGGGAAGAGTTGTGTGTATTGTGTGCCTTGTATGATGCAACACTACATAAATGAAATCTCTGAGTTAAGGGGAAAGACCCCTGGTGGCATAGTGGTTATGCATTGGGCTGCTAACTGAAAGGTAAGCAGTTTGAAACCACCAGGGACTGAACTGGAGAATGTCAACAACTTATACTCCTGTACAGAGGTACAATCTCAGAAGCCCACAGGGCGAGTTATACTCTGTCCTTACATGTTGTGCAGGATCACAAGTTACAATCGAGGTTGTAACTAAGAGGGGAACGGGAGAGAAACATCAAAAGGCAGGTTTGTCTACATTCAAAAAGCAAAAGTAAACCTTTCTGTGCCACCTGCTTTGACAACATTTGAAAAATCGATTTAGAGGCTAACAATATACTATGAAAAGCAATTATTTGTAATAGGATCAATATCTTTATCTGGAAGAAAAAATGTATACAAAATGATAAGAAAAGCACTATGATTACAACTGACAAAAATATAAACAATCAAATTCAGGTAAGGAAAAGGATAATCTAAGAAATACAAAATAAGACAGGAATGAAATATTAGCTTGGCTTATTGGTTTCATAAAAATGATGTTCAATGGTTTATCTATTTCCTTAGAAACACATTGATACTGGTTTTATCATATCTGGTTAAGTGCTGCCATAGGAGAATTGGGAGGAGGCATCAAAAAGTTCATCGAAATTTTTCGTTGTCTTTTCTTTCCATTTGCCACAATCTTTTTGAAGCCCCTTCA